AGACCGAGATAAAGGAAAATACGAAGTCAGTGTGATCCTAGTTTCGTGCAAGGATTGATTTTGTACTTTGATAGTTTAAGGAACAGAATGATATAATAATAAAAAATTTTCCTCAACAGTGGGCAAAGGAAAAATCTCCTCAAGATCTTGTCTCTAATCCTTCCACGATCTTGCTATAATCGTGCCGCGATCCCGTCACTGTCTTGAAACACAAACGAAACGGGATCGTATAACGAACTTGATCAAGAACGCGATTCCAATTATAAGATCGCGATTTTATTTTGTCAAGTTCAGCATTTTTCGTTACATGGGAAAAAAGTCGGGTTCGCGATCAGATCTCAGCAAGAATGGAACGGGAATATCACTAGGGATCGTACATGCATTTGAGATATAAAAGAGAAACGCTAACTGTATAGGTGTGCACATATATCATATGATACCATCGAGTGTATTGTATGACGAAAGTCTAGAAATTCATGGTTAGAAGAAAATATTCACTATACCCTTCCTCTCTGCCTTCTAAGACTATAGACATCAGAACAATTTCAAGATAGTCGCAGCTTCAAAGAAAAGAACTCGAAAGTTTACAAAACAGGCATATTTTGCAGAACCATGCGCTAGAAGACGTCTTCCATTTTGGCGTGCTAACGACTGAAACTGCACACTTTTTAATGAATTTTGAACCTTCGATAAAACTGTCAACTAAAAAGCATGAGAATGTCTTCACGCTTTTATTTTCATTGTTTTCCTTTGACAAACTATCAGTTCATGGTTACATTTCTACATTTTTGAGCTTTACGATATTTTTTTATGATTTATATTTGACAGTTCTTAAACTGACGGTTTTGTTTTACGGTTTTTCTTCGATGGTTATGGATTTTACGGTTCTTTTTTCACCTTGTAGAGTCTAATCAGGAAGAAAAATTTTGCTTCTTAACTTTTGACGTCATGTTTATTGGGCACATTTTACGCACTTATCTAATTCTATTACTTTGATAGAGCATTTTTTGTTAAAAGCAGCTACAAAACAATGTTTTACTACCGGGACATTTTTCTTTTTCTCTCGAATCGAATAAAAGTTTATTATGTTTCTAAAAAACTAAAATGTTTTCTGTTACACAAATAGAAACAAGAGATTCTAAGCAAGTCAGAAATGTTGAGGAACGTGTACTTCCAAATTACTAGATGCCAGTATTTTGAAGTCTTTCTTGATTAAATTTCGTCTAGTTATATAAAATAGCTGTTCAATTAACAAGAATCTTTATGTATAACTGTTTTACTACTTCTAGAAGAAACAGAACAGATGATGTCAAATGAACTACTCTCTAGAATGGTCTACTTTTTTGTAAATGGAGTTACGTTTATCATCTTATGCTTACCAATATTCATGTTCATTAGACCAGTTTCATTTTTATTTATTATTACGATCATTGTAATTATTTTACAGTTGGTTTACAATTTTTACAAACTACCATCAGCTCAAGGTCATCATGTATTTGAAAATTTAATCATTGCACATCGAGGTGGTCAACCATTACTACGAGATGACAATAATGATTTTCCCGAAAATTCTCTGGCCGCCTTTAAATGGGCTTCAATGAGTTTATTAGTAGACGGTATTGAACTTGATACTCAGTTATCAAAAGACTATATTCCAATGGTTATTCATGATACATGGTTACATCAAACATTTGATAATTGTCATGGAAAAGTATCGGATTATACATGTGCTGAACTAAAAAAAATTTTTATTTAAACGTAAAATAGTTAAGACTGATGTAGGAACGAGTGATTTGTATAAAACGGAACGCATTCTTACATTAGAAGAAGTAATTCAATTTCTTCAAAAAACAAAATTAAAAGTAGTCATTGAAATAAAAGAAGTAAAACATTTAAAATTAATGGCATCAATTATTGATAAATTCTATCGTCAGTATCCATTTTTATATGAACGAAGTTTTTGTTCATCATTTTTACCAATAAATCTCTATTACTTGAGATTGTTAAATCCAAGAATAATAACTGGTCTTGTCTATCTTGAACAGACAACTGACGGTTTAATACGAGTAACAGATGATCTTGAAAAACCGTTGCCTACATTTGTGAAATACAACATATTTTTTAAACTAGTAATAGATAATATTTTTCGATTATTTGCAACACCATTAATATTGAAATTAATCGGTACTAATATTATATTAATACAAAAAAATGGTGTATCTGGAAATATTATTAACAAATATCGACAAAATGATATTGTTGTCGCAGTATGGTGTGCAAATACAAAAGACGAAAAACTTTGGTTCAAATCTCAAGGTGCAACAATTATTACCGATATACCATTAGATTGATTGTATAACTTATCTCACATATTAAATATTCTTTCGTCTAATAACTCTCGTCTTATCTCATCGTATTATCAATTTTTTCCAAAACTATGTGAAAATAGGCAGAATTCTGAATAAAACGCAAAATTCAACCATTCATTCTATTTTTAAAATTTCAAAACAATTTTTTTCTTACTCTCCATCAATGGATTTTGGAAATTTTAAAGTTCAAATTAACTTCGAGAACTGTTGAAGACGAGCAGGATGGTAAATGATCCGCTGGCTAATGTTGCAAGCCTATCTAGTCCTACGCTTTGGAAGATAAAATTCTCTTTCATACTTCATTCTCACTTATATACTTATGAAAAAAACAAGTATGTACCGACTTTGAAAAATTTATTCTCTTCGTAACTCTTCGTAAAAAGGTCATAAAATAGAAAAAATAAATCGCAAGAATATCGTGGATACTCTTTATCTTGTGAATAAATATTTGCTATACACATATACAGGCTCAATAAAAGTTTTATCACATCGTGTTCTTACGAGATACTCGTTTATACAAAAAAGGCCCTCGTTTCTAGGCACATGCGAAAGAACCATAAATCCTACAAACTACTTCATGCTAATGAATTGTGCTACATCTTCCAATAAAATTACGTTCCTAAGTAAATCCATCAGCAGCCATCACTACACAAGAGAAGATAATGTATAACACTTCATTTAACATACAATGAAGAGTCTGTATAAAACGTAAGTATTGCAACTACTATCCATTTCATAGGATAATGCAGTTGGTTGCAACTTGAATAACTTCTCAGCGGAAGTAGCTAGAGACGTGTGGTTTGCGTTGTTAGAAAGAGAAAAGATAACTTTATCAGGAAATGCAACATTCAAGCAGGTTGCATCGGCTTCTGGCCCCACCTAGGGGTGGAACTTCTGTAAGTGGGCTTAGTGCCGAAAGTTCTTATAGCGTGGAGTTGTCGTATGACATGAGTTTGAT